GATAGATAGATAGATAGATAGATAGATAGATAGATAGATAGATAGATAGATAGATAGATAGATAGATAGATAGATAGATTGACTGACTGACTGACTGACTGACTGACTGACTGACTGACCAGGCCCACCCCCTCTTCATCCTAAGGCACACAGGGAGGAACGGAGAAGGAAGCAACATGAGTTGTGTGGCTTACGGGGGAGGAAAGGGCCCTGATTCCTTTCACAAGGCACACCTGGGGATGGAGTTTAAAGGAGAGGCAGTTGGGAGGGGTTGTTTGTCGGGAACAAACACTGAATTCATCTAGTGTTGTGAGTTTTAGCCTGCATTCCTGGCATTCCTCATCTGTGTGAATTATTGCTGTGCTTCTGTGTGCTTATCTTGCCTTGCTGGAATTATTGGACTCATTACCTTGTCTTGCTGGAGTGATTGCAGTCATTCTGCTTACAGTGTTTGGACTGGAGCATCAGCAGCCAGAGTCTGTTGTAGGTTCGTGGGAGAGCTTTGCTCCAGGCCGGAGAGTTAAAGGGACATTGGGGGCAAAGTTGGAACAAATAAAAGGACTCTTACCTATTGCCTGGCTGTGTTGCCTTCGTGCCATTCCCCGGGTCATCAGACTGAGTGGACTCCCAACAGATCTTCTGCAGCTCATGGGTAACACCTACACTCTCCGTTTTTGTGTCCTTCAGGCTCTCTCCTTTATCATCTTCATCTGCTACATTGCTTCGACAGCTACACCTTTCATGATGGTGCCGTTACTGACATTTCTACTTGCTTCGTGCTTTTTCGTTTCCTATTCCCTAAAGCTGAATGAGAAGTTCCGAGGCATCTATTGGCTTTTGGCGGTAAGTAGCTGAATTGCGGGCGGAGGGGGTGTTTAATTTATGACGTGGTTTGCAGGTGGGCAGGTGAGTTGGTTTCGCAGGGGAGAAAGGAGGCTGAATGGTATCGTTTCAAAGCAGGTTGAGGTGGTGTTTCCATCACCTCCAGACAACCTAATGATGGGTAGGGGGAAGGGGTGATTGGTACTTTCATGTTGTTACTACCCTTGAGAGTTACTTCTGGAAGTACTCATGCCTGGCATCAGATGCAGGTTGTCCTTGACTTAGGATCATAATTGAGCCCAGAATGACAGCTGTAAATTGTGTTGGTGATTAAGTAGATCACTATCTGACCATGCTCAATGTTACATCGGTTTTTTTTGGAAGCAATTATTAAGTGACTCCTCACACCCATTAAGTGAGCACCATGATCATTATGAGCTGTGAGCCGTAGTAGCGCAGTGGTTAGAGTGCAGTACTGCAGGCTCCTTCTGCTGACTGACGGCTACCTGCAATTTGGCACTTCAAATCCCACCAGGCTCAAGGTTGACTCAGCCTTCCATCCTTCCGAGGTGGGTAACATGAGGACCCAGATTGTTGGGGGCAATAGGCTGACTCTATAAACTGCTTAGAGAGGGCTGTAAAGCACTGTAAAGCGGTATATAAACTAAGTGCTATTGCTATTGCCCTTCCTTCATTCCTTCCTCCCTCCCTTCCTTTCCTTGGTGACTGAGGGGTTAGAATTCAGTATTGCAGGCTAACTGCCAACTGCCGGCAGTTCAATCCTGACCGGCTCAAGGGTGACTCAGCCTTCCATCCTTCCGAGGTGGATAAAATGAGGACTCAAGATTGTCGGGGGTAATATACTGACTCTAAACCGCTGAGAGAGGGCTGTAAAGCACTGTGAAGCGGTATAAAAGTCTTAAGTGCTATTAAGCAAATCCATTCTCCACAATGGATGCTTTTTGCAAGAAATAAATGCCAGTTTCCAAGGAAAAGAAAATAGCAATAGCACTAAGCACTTTTATATTTATATTTACTTATATATTTATTTATTTTGTTTATTTATTTATTTTGTCAAAAGATTACAATACAATAGAAATAAGAATAAACATAAGTTTAAATATAAGAAATAAGAACCAATAATTGAGGACAATAGGACAGGGATGGTAGGCACAATTGTGCACTTATGCACGCTCCTTACAGACCTCTTAGGAATGGGGTGAGGTCAACAGAGGTTAATTTGAGAGTAAAGGAGTGGGGGTTTGAACAGGTGACAACAGAATCAGGTAGTGAGTTCCAGACATTGACCATTGTTGCTGAAATCGTACTTCCTGCAATCAAGTTTGGAGTGGTTTACATAAAGTTTATATCTGTTGTGTGCTCTTGTGTTGTGGTTAAAGCTGAATATTCATTAACTGGTAAGACATTGTAACGTATCATTTTATGTACTATGCTTAAGTCCAATTTTAGCCGGCGTAGTTCAACGTTGTCTAAGCCTAGAATCTCAAGTCTGGTGGTATAGAGTATATACCACTCCACAGTGGTCCACAGCCCTTTCTAAGCAGTTTAGAGTCAGCCTCTTGCCCCCAATAATCTGGGTCCTCATTTTACCAACCTCAGAAGGATAAAAGGCCGAGTCAACCTTGAGCCGGTCAGAAATCATAAATCAAGGTTATGTGATCATGGGACACTACAAATGGCTGTAAATGTGAGCCAGTTGCTAAGCCCCCCCCCCCCCGATATGATCACGTAATTGTGGTGGGGCGAGTGGCCATTGGAACTTCAAATCCAGTTCGTACGTAACCTTGGGAAGTCCGTCCTAACTTTAGACAGCCATTAAGCAACCAGACATAAGTCAAGGACTAGCTGTATTCAATTGCATTCCACCTGTGGCTTTTGAGCAAGCTACCTTTGAAACCTGCTTTCTGAATGACGGGCAGCCTGGACTGAGGGTGAAGCTGGTTGCGATATTGCATCCCAGTCAGATCTTGAGGAAAATAATTGCTTTAAGAGTTTCCTTGTTCTTGCACGGTTGACCACCAGGAGATGCTGGCCTTCCAGGAAGACTCCACTTTGCAAAGCAAAACAGAGAGAAAAACACACAGCACTGCCACGGAGTTTTTGTTCCACCCCTTTTGTTTATTATTTTCCATCAGCCGTCTAATTTACGGTCCAAAGACTGCCGTGCCGTAACCCAGATACCTAATAATAACGGAGGTGTTAACCTAGCTGAACTCTGTAATTCAGATGCCAGTGGTTGTCATCCCCACTAGAAAAAATAAAGCAGATTTTCTGCAGGCTGTGTACATTTGCTTGTCTTCCTTGTGCCAGGAAAAGAAAAAGGGAAATAAATTGTCTGCAAATATGCAGATTGTATTAGCATATTTCGGCGGTCTCTTTTTTGGCCCTTAAAGGCTCTGCAGCCCCTGATGGCAGATCTGATTCCTGTTGGTTCAAGGAATAGATAAGTTTTATGCTGTGCCCCCAGCATAAAATCATTGCCGCGCCATCTCGTAATTGCTGGGCACATGACACTCAACAATTAAAGAAGACTCTTATAAAACTTCTCCCAACAAGGAGCAAGGATCTTCATCAGATCCTGCTAGCTGGAAGGGTTTGTCAGGAATTGTGATCTTGACACATCTAAAGCACACCAGGTTGGAAAAGGCTGGCCAGGAGCAGAATTAGGATTGGGGAGCACCAAATATGACGGAACAGCTGCCAGGATCCCTAATATTGGACCACAACTGGCTCAATCTGGTGAAAACTGTAGTTCAAGCAAACAAGGGAAGGGCCGTAGATTTCCTTCCGAAATTATATCCTAAGGCAACTCTGCATATATACCTTTTTATTTACCTTGTTAATAATCTTCTCTCTGACTACATTGGTTTTGCAGGATTTTTTATGTGGAATTATTGCTGCTATTATATATTTTGCCATCTCCATTGCTGCCGTTTCAAAGTATACGGACACCGCATCGAAGGCAGCCGGGGTAAGTTTCTGTTTAACAAAACTTGCACACAATATTTTCTCTCCCAGCAGAGTTAATTTCACAAACCTGTTTGGTTTTTTGTTTTTTTTGGCGAGTGTAATTCTGTCTAAACCTATCTATTGTTGCTCTTCACCCTTCATTGCTCAATTTGGGTGGTCATTTTGAGGAGAAAGAATTCATAAATTCCTTTAGCTATGATTTCCCCATACATTCTTATGGAGTAGCTCTTCCATTTATATCAGTGGAAATTATTATTATTTTTTTAAAGAAATACTTTTTTCAACTCATTGGTTCATGAAGGAAATATGGGAAGAGAATTGGGAAGATTCTTTCTTCTCTAATCATATGCCTCTCTTCTCCAAAAGCTCTCCCAGATTGAAGTAAAGCATTGTAAAAAGCTTCCATTAACACCAATGAAGCTTTCTTTAAAAATCCAAATATTTCAAAAAGCTGGAATTACAGATGCAAAAGAGCTCATAAAGAAGGATAAACTTGTATGACAATTCACACAAACACGTACCACGTTTGAAAAAGCAGCACATTTTCCCTTTACTTTCTAATCTGTTCTATATGTATTTATGACTGATACCCCTTTTCTGATCTAGGGTGGAGTCAAGGCGTTATTCTCATCCCTTATTCTCAAGATTGCTCTTACTCTAGGGATCCAACTTTAATTTGACCAGATGTCATTACAAAAAGTTGCCAGATACTATCCATAGGAAAACTATAAACCAAGGGTCTTCAAACTTGGCAACTTTAAGACTTGTGAAATTCAACTCCCAGAATTCCTGAGCTAACGTGACTAGAGGAGGAATTCTGGGTGTTGAAGTCCATAAGTCTGTACGCGGTCAAGTTTGAAGACCCCTGCTATATAAACCATTGAATGCATTCATTATAATGAAAATGAAAAGAAGGACTAGGAGAGATAGGATGATAGCGGTCCAGTATTTGATGAGTTGCCACAAAGAAGAGGGCGTTAACTCTCCAAAGCACCAGAAGGCAAGACAAGAAACAATTGAGGAGAGAATCAAGGAGAGAAGCAACCTAGAACTAAGGAGAAAGTTCTTGACAGAACAATTAATCAGTGGAACAACTTGCTTCTAGAGGTTGTGGGTATTCCAAGACTGGAAGAGTCTCTTTTAAGAAGAGATTGGTCAACCATTCATCTGAAATGATGTAGGGTTTGCTGCCTGAGCACGGAGTTGGACTAGAAGATCTCCAAGGTCCCATATTCTGTTCTCCTGTATTCTTTATTTTGGCTGTATGAGTTGAAGACGAGGGTTGTTAAGACTAAAAATGGAGACACGGGCATGTGGGCTGAATTCTGTTATTTCTACCCATTATCGCTCTTTTCCCTTTTTTTCCCCTCTCCATATTTTAAAAACTCATCCTTTCTGTATTTCCTCTATCTCGACCTTCAGGTATTTGGGTTTATCACCACCATCGTCTACTGTGCCTACGTCTATTTCACATTTAATGACCTGGCAACGTTTCTAAAACAAGAAGATTCCTCCGAAGCCCCCAAATCACAGAAGTCAGAAAGTAGGTTTAAACTGTTCTTGCATTGCTATCCAAACACACTTGCTATTTAGAGTTTCACTGCAATCTTGCTACCTAATGATGCAGGGGAATTCTAGGAGTTGAAGTCCACACATTTTAAAGCTGCCAAGTTTGAAAAATACCGCTCTAGTTTAAGGTAAATGAAAAACTACAGTTCATATGGTTACTTCCCGTTTATCGGTTGTCCTCTACAATTGTATTTTTTAAAAGTTCATTCTCTATTTTTAGTATGAAAGTTCACATTCATTTTTTTCCCCCAGATGACTCAGATTCAGATTCTGACTGATGAATGGCAGAACCTTGATGGGAAATGAGGAAGACGTAATGAGGAAAAGGAAAAAGAGAAAAAGCAGAGGAAAGATTTTGAGTATTTTAACCTTTTTCAGTGAACTTGAATATTTTAACCTTTTTCAGTGAACTTTACAGATTGTTGTTACTACAACTGGGATCACCAAAATCATGCTGGGAATATTATTGTGTATAATTTACACAAGGAAACCTGACCTGCTGCTGTCTGAAGCTCATTCATTGCGGTAGATTTTTCTGGCCAAACCTTTTATGAACAGACTCCTTATGTTACCCTGGGTGTATAAAGAAGTCATTAGCATCTTGCAACATGGAGTTTCTTCTGTAGTAGACATAATATCAAGCTTTAACCTTTTTTCCCCCCTACTTATTCCATGGTTTTTGTTCTTGAGTTCGGAAGACAATAGCTTATTGGTTAGAAGGGGCTTGATTTTAAAACTTAGATTGAATTTAAACTCAGGACAAATTCAGCAATAATGAAAATAAACTTAAATCCCTAATGAATAAAGCCAAAATAAGATGATTCCGTAAAATCATGTCAGATATTCAGTAATTGCATACCTAGACATACCAAAGAAGTGTGATGAAGGTGTTCCTTCTCATAACTTTTGTGATTGCCTACCTAGCCAGCCTACCTAACTTCATGAAACCAGAGGTACAGAAGCAGAGCATGGATGGTGATCACCCAGTGCCTAGGCTTTCGATAGCCAAACCAGCCAATCAAATCTTTATTACAGTCATATATCAGCACAAGAAGGGTGAAATACAAACAATAATTTGATAGACAGTAGATAGATGATGGATGGATGGAGAGGCAGAGATTACAGTTTAAAAAAATAACTAAAAATATTTTATATATATTTAGTTTTTAAAAACTGTTTATTGACTGTATTCTGGCCTATGACCATAATAAAGATTTGATTTGATTTGATTGATAGCTCCACCAGTAATTGTGAGTTGTGAGCTATAGAAAACTATGCAAGATATAGTGGTCTTTTTTTTTTTTAGATGTTCTCTTGATCGAAAACTAGGATGACTGAAAAGAATCCCAGTATAATGTGAACCAGGCATGCAATTCCTTCTGCTTCTGGTTTTTTTTTCCCCTCCCATATACCAGTCCTTGCTTAAGGACTGCCCTGTTTAGCAATGGTTCTAAGTTACGATGCTGCTGAAAAAGTACCTTTACAACTGGTCCTCACACTTAATGCCCATTGCAGCATCCCTGCAGTTTTGTGATTGCCGTTTGTGTGTGCTTTGCAACCTGCAAGCGTTTACGACCATCGCAGCGTCCTGCAGCCAACACAATCATTTATCCCCTTCACAACCAGCTGTGGACGAGCATGGAGAAGCTGCCAGTCAAAAAGCCCAAGTCATGGTCACTTGAAGTCTCGCTTAAGGACCTGGGGTGACTCAATAACCACAGCAGAAGTGAGGGCGCGTAAGTCTGTTTTAGTGACATATCTCCCATAACAACTGCAATCCTTAGCAAGTTGCCAGCCCAAACAGTGATAACAAGGACTACCTATAATGAAGGAAACGGTGATGCAATACATCTTTACACAATATTTAATATGCTTAGTACCAATTTGTATTAGTTTTGTAGGGAAGGTCAGTTATCAAGACAAAGCAAACATGTCTTTTCTTTTGATAAATCCTACAGGCAGGTCCTAGCAATAAGAGAAGGAAGGACCCAGCAGGCTGGTTTCTGAACTGGGTTAACACAACAGTTTAGCTATATTCTGATTCATGCTTCTCTGGAATTCCCCCAAGGAGCATTTTACCGTCTTTGCTTCTTTTTATATAGTCATTTGCATGTGGTTTAGTCTGTGATTTTTTTTCTCAATTGAAGGAACTCTAGTGCGCGTGTCAAATGGAACAAGGAAGGCATTTTGGAATTGTAGGAGTAAATCTATGTCAATATTTCATTTTAAAGTGTTCACTAGCTTTAATATTATTTAAATATCTGCACTATCTGGAAAGATATGGGTATTTCCGATGTAAGAACAATCATAATGGCCTATTCTTGGCTACCTTAATGACTTTTCTGTTAATCATCTCTTTCAGGGAAACCATTCAGGGTTTTTTCTTGTTTGAAATAATCTTTGCATTACAGATTTCAGACAAATTTTGGTCTGTAATTCAAATCCCTTAGTAACAACAGGATTCAAAACCTCACTAATATGCAAAGTTGCAGAGGAAAAATAATTTTTGATCAGTTGATCAAAAACCTTTCCCAAGAACTAATGTTTGATTATAAAATTTGAACTTTCCAGAAATGGATAAAGGTTATGCAGTATTTCACTGGCAGGCACGTAGCGTTGATGTACCTGTGGAAATAAGTGCTAACAGAATCATAAAAATGAAGGCTATGAAGTCATAATTTACTTGTCTGATTCTTAAACGTTATCTCTGGAATGTAATTTTACCTGTACAAATTTACTTCCGGAATTTGTACCCTGGTTATGGATGCTTGATTTAATATTAGGGTAATCTCAGGTTATGCCTAAAATAATAAATTTGAAAACAGCCTTAAAGTATAGGTATCCAGAAGTCACTTCAGTTGCAGCACACAAAATGACCAGTTCAGTTCCATTGTATTAACTTTTATGATTTAGACAGACATGCTGCTGCTTATAGATGGATTGAGAAATGGATTCATGGTTTGATTGTGTGTATCTTATGCTATCTGAATTTTGTAATCTTTTGATACTATGTTAGCCTGTTTTTACTGTGAGTGTATTTTATAAAAAGAAAGGTACTTCTGCCTCGAGTAATTTACTTACACGTGCAATTGAATCCTCAAGGTAGCCGCATCAAGGGAAGTTTGATGGGTGTTGGCAAAGTAATGGCTTAGCTTTTTTATTTAAAACGAAAGTTCATATTAGGCACTTTTAAATATAGAGAAATTGCTAACACTAGAAAGGGTTGCAGTAAACAATTATTTATACATTAGGGCTGAGAAATTCATTCAGAGGACACTCCTCTCAACCTTGAACATCAAAGTCTCCACTGACCAACGCAAATGATACAGGTAATCTTTGACTTATGACACGGTCCTTAAAAGGTATTTGTGACCCACTTCCAAAATTACAATGGACACACATACTCTCCACAATCGTGTGGACGCCTTTCAGGTGCTTGCCGCTGGCCTGCATTTATATCTATCTCTTTGCAGCACCTCATGGTCACATAACCATGATTTATTTTATTTTTTTTGCTGAATCTGGTTTTACTTTACTGGTTAAAAGCAAGCGAAGAATAGGAATAGATTAACAGCCAAAAAAAAAAAAGTCATAAAATCAGTTTGGTCTTGATGACGTTCTTTTAGGTAAGTCAAAGAATACCAGTAGTATAAGAGCTTTTCCTAGTTATCTGAACATGCACATTGAAATAGATTTAAGACTCTGAGCAAGTACTGCTTGGTTTCCCAAAGAATGACAAATTCAAGTCCTTGTTAGGAATATCGGACAGTTTTCCTAGATGGAATGAAACAATTGGGTATATAAGTCACTCAAGACACAAATGGTCAACAGGTGAAGACAATTATTCCTACCCATTTATTAAATCCTTTACAATGATTCCATATGAGATTAGTACTCTGAAAGCTTATGATTTTGTCCTACATACAAAAATACAAGTTTTTTAAAAAACACACAATGAAAATAGACAAGTACCATGAGAATTTTATAGAATCCGATATCTTGGTGTATCCCCAAAAAAAGTATAGATCAAAAGGCAGAAGGATACTCATATTAAATTTTACATTACCCAGAATAAACCATGCCAATATACAAAGGAAAAACTGATAAAAAATACACCACATAGGAATAAATTTAAAAACAAGAACTGACCAAGCAGCAATTTGGTGATTGGCCTTTAAGTAAAAATCATTACAATCCTTCATCCTGGAAGTTTATAAATGCAGAGTAATATTGGAAATTAAAAGTGCATGGCATACAACTGCTATTTGTCCTCATGAAACTTTGCAATGGATACACGTCTTATTCACACAACAAATAGAAATCCTCGTATATGGAATGTCAAAGAGTATCTTTATGCAGGAAGAAACTTTCTGCACTCAAGGTTTTTCTTCTTGGTACTAAAGCAAAAGGCCGTACAGATTGTCTTGAAACCACCATAACTTTGTGGAATATGGTTAATTTTGTTCTGGAATGACAAATGCAGGGTTTTTCAACCTCAACAACTTGTGTGGACTTCAACTCCCAGAGTTCCTCAGCCAGCTCAAAGTTGCGGAGGTTGATAAAACACTGAACTAACAGATTACTGATTTTCCACCCATATTTACCATGCTGCTGGTGGTGTGTTCTAAATCAGAAATACCAGATTCCTAAATTGGTCAATCCAATGATCAATATTTAGACTATGCAGATGCAAGATCACCAGATTTATTTCTGTATTCTGAAGCTGCCTGATAGCAGTTTCTGAACCATTTGTAGTAACAGAAGGTATGAAGCCTCCTGTTGTAATCCCAGGCCATTGAAATTATATTCTGATCAATTCTCCATTGATTGTATTGGAAAATATGTTCCCCAAGCTGCAGAGTTCAGAAGGGCCTGTCAATCTAAACAGCAAAGCTAAGGGAAATGATGTGCTGACCACACAATCTTGAAAGTAGATTTTCTTTCTGAAAAGATGTTGTGATTTTCTGCTAGATAAAACTTTGAAAACAAACTATTCTATCTGATACAATGTAGGTCACATTGGAAGTCTTGGTTGAAAGCTGATTCAGCTCACCAGCAACCAGGTTTGTAAACTGAAACCATAATCAAATTTTAGATCTAATTATATTTACTGTAACTTAAATCCACAGCATTAAACAATTTTTGCAATGTTTTTTTACAAACCGCTGGTAAGGTATAGGCACACATTTGCAATAGTTGTTTTTTTAAAAAAAATAAGGACTTCAATTGTGTTTCAATGCTATATAATCATGCTTTTCTCTAACCCTTTCTTAGTAGGAGGAATGTTTATTTCACAATATCCAGTAAGTTAGACGTGATACTTTAAATACGGTTTCACCCTGGAAGAAAAGGATCAAATTGAAATCACTGTTTTTATTAACTTGTTGGAAATCTTATTTAGGTAAGATTTTTGGTCACAAAAGTTTGATTTCTGAAAAAGTCTAAAAGACAGTGCCAGTGCCTTGCAGTGGGTATTGAAACAATCCAATACTTCGTTTTTCAAAAGCCTCTGCTAAAAAAAAAAATCAAGTGCAACTTGGCAGATGTTTGAAAGCATTTTAAATTAGGGAAAAGAATCTTTGCTTATTGGTGCCCCCTCGTTTCATAATAGCACTTGTGCTGCCCAAGGAATTGACGAATACATCTGTGCTACCTGTTTCAACTTGGTCCCTGCCAACCAAATTCCACATTTTTACACACTTTCTCTAGACCTACCAAAAGGCTTGCACTGCATGTTAAACACCTTAGAGTTTGCCCATGGCAACGCAATGTTATTTTTTTCAACTCCTGCCAGGAAAGCAGAGGCTTTAAAGAAGGCTGAGGAGTCTATTAAGGCTGGTGTTTTAACAGAACTAAAAAATAAAAGTGTTGTTTAGCAATTTGTGATTATAAAAATAGCATTTGTAGGAAGGATTTCTGAGAAGGGTTCATGCCATTCACACACAACGGATATTCGTACAAAAGGCACCCTAGCCAAACTGGGACAATACATTGAACAATAAATATACAGTTTACCGTCTCATCACCGTATTATATCTCAATTCATAAAATTCAATATATACAAATAGGCTCCATCCACAATAATGCAGAAAAGAAGTATCCACATAAGACAATTTAAGTGCATCTTTTATTCTAGGTTGTGTAAGTGTGGGGGATTTAGCAGAGTCACTAAAACAGGTGTCTGAATCAAGATGCTCACTTCCTAACACGAGTTACACTTTTTCATCTCAAGGTGCTCTAACAACAAAGCATAGAGGTCCAGGAGCATATATGTGTGTGTGTGTTTTCTTAATATATATATATTAATATATATTGTCCAGTCCCAAATATGAACACTGAACAGAGATCATAGATAATAAAAGTGTTAAAGATGTAGTCTGAGTTATTCTACCTCTCAACAGGCTGTTTGCAGTACTTTTACTTAGGGTTCTTGCATGCCACTACAGAAGACTTCTTGGTAGCTAGAAATAAGCTAGGACTCACTATGCCCTCTTAGATATCCCAAAGATGATTTTCAGTAGGCAACTGGACTTCCTTGTTTTTTTTCCTTGAAAACATTTCACTTCTCTTCCAAAAAGTTTCTGCAGTTCTGACTGAATGGTAGGGAACAGAAGAATTGAACTGAATTGATTGAACTGATAGAAAGGATTGAACTGACAGAACTGAGGAAGCTTCTTGGACGAAAAGCGAAATGTTTTCAAGAGGAAAAAAAAAAACCAAGAAAGTCCAGTTGTCTTTTGAAAAGCACCTTTGGAATAACCTTGACCTGGATGATTGAGAATCTCCACAGCCATTTTGCCCTCTTAGAAGCTTTTTTCTGATTTTATCCCAAATTTAAACACCACCAAATTCATTCAAGTTAGCAACACCAACTTTCTCTACCTTGCGGTCCTTGATCATGCTGGCTGAATATTGTGCAACTGTTCTCAACACATGCAAATGGTCCTCAATTTGGAAAGAAAACTTTTAGAAGGGACAGGAGCTTAAGAAAAATGAATGATTTGCTGGCAAAACTGCCCACTCCTATCTTGCGCATAGGACCTGGAAGATTAAGAAGAGAAATAGTTGTCTGGTCAAGAGAAACCAAACATAGAGATTCTGTAAACATTAGTTTACTAGGAATATTACAAATAGTGGGGTTTTTTATTAAAAAAAACACATTCCTTTTCTTCCTATTTATTTCTGGGGCTCAGAAAGCCATCTGAATTAAATTATTCCAGAAAAAGGATCGATTTTCTAAAATCAATCACAGCTGTTAAGAGGAAGGAATAGGTTTCACTCCAGCTTCTTAGTTTTCATCTATGGATATTAGCATGGCTGTAAAGACAAGGCTTAGCTAAATACCACAAGCCACAACTGTAACAATCTGGATGTTGTATTGGGTTCTTACATCTTCACAATTAACTACAAAATAAAACCTGACCATAGCCGTTCCAATACACTGAGCACCTTTTTCCATGAAAAGCAAAGATAACTGACACCGAAAATGCAATGTTCTTATCGCGTAAAAATAAAACTGTCTCATAAAAAGAGTACTATGCAAACCACGTTTTCCTAGCTAAAAGCTGCATATTCTTAAAATGGAAGTCATTGCTAAAAAGTATTCAGCTGTCCTTCTAGAACAGGGGTCTCCAATCTTGGCAACTTTAAGCCTGGCGGACTTCAACTCCCAGAATTCCCCA